AAACGTAAAATAAATGGGTTTCCCTCAACACTGAAATTAGATGATGTTATTTCTAGTGATGATGATATGATTGCTGATATGTTTGCAAATTATTTTCAATCGAACTATTGTATCGAGCCAGATGAAAAAACTTCTAGCTATCCTTTTCCACTCCCACAGTTTGACCACATCCGTATTCCTTCAATCTCCGCTGACAATGTTCTCCTTCATTTGAATAGTTTAAAAAATTCTTTTCTAAGCGGCCCGGATGGTATTCCCTCCTGTGTCCTAATAAGTTGTGCGGATTTTCTATATAAGCCATTAACAAACATCTTCAGTGCTTCTCTAAAGCAAGGAGGTTTCCCCTCTTTGTGGAAGGAGTCGTATATCTTGCCGCTTTATAAAAATGGAAGCAGGTCGAATATTGCGAATTATAGGGGAATCGCTAAGTTGTGTGCCATTCCTAAATTATTTGAAGAAATCGTTACGGAAGAACTATCTTATTCCATAACACCCGTTATCGATGTATCACAACACGCCTTTGTAAAGGTAAATCAACTGTATCAAACCTTCTTGACTTCACTACAAATGTGAACAATGGTTTCAAAAGTAATTATAAAACTGACGTCATTTACACTGATTTCAGCATGGCTTTTGATAAAGTATCTCATTCAACTCTAATATACAAACTTGATAAAATTGGTTTCCCTCCAATCCTGCTGCGCTGGCTTTCTTCTTATTTCATTGGCAGGAAACAGACGGTTATCTTTAAAAAATGTTCATCTCGTGAAATTCATGTGACGTCAGGTGTACCTCAAGGTAGCCACCTTGGTCCCCTTCTGTTTATTTTAATCATCAACGATCTTCCAAATATTTTGAAGTATTCGAATTGCTTAATGTACGCAGACGACGTTAAGTTATTTAAGTTCATTGGTGCTCCAGGAGACAGGGAACAATTACAGGTGGACCTTAGTAATGTGTTTAAATGGTGCGAAGTAAATTCTATGTCACTTAACTTGAAAAAGTGTAAATTTATGTGTTTCTCTAGAAAATCCTTTCAATCATATAGCTACCGCATTTGTGATCATAGTGTTGATCAGGTAACTAATTTCATCGACCTAGGCGTAACCATGGACTCTAAGCTTGAATTCCAGTCCCATGTAAACTGTTGTGTTAATAGAGCCAAGGGCGTCTTGGCTTTCATAAAACGTTGGGCTAAAGAATTCACAGATCCTTATGTCACTAAAGCTCTCTTCACCTCCCTNGTTATGTCACTAAAGCTCTCTTCACCTCCCTAGTCAGGCCGATCTTAGAATACGGGTCCGTTGTATGGAACCCTAGATATCAAACGCACTCTGACAGACTCGAGTCGGTACAGAAACAATTCTTATTATTAGCATTAAATAATTTGCCTTGGGACTCGACATTAAATTTCCCACCGTACAAAAGCCGCTTGAAGCTCATAAATTTTCCAACGCTGCACGGACGTAGAGAGATGCTCGGGGTTTTGTTCATGATTAAGATCTTGAACGGGATGGTCAATAGTCCCTTTCTACTGAACCAGATCACATTTTGTATTCCTTCTAGGCCTTCTAGACATTACAAGCCCAATAAGCTAACTATTTGTAGAACAAAATTTGGAATGCATGATGCTTTTCGTTGCCTATGCCAGGACTTTAATAAGCATTACGACTATTTTGACACCTCCGACTCACATTTTACCATTAAGAAAACCTTACTTGAGATTTTGAATAAATAACATGTAGACCCTTACATTGCACCTTATCGTTCAGCTGGTGAACTGTATTTCTGTTCAGTTTATGAGGTAAACGTAAACGTGAATCGCTTTTTTGTAACTAAATGAATTAATATCTTTAACCGGGAACGATAAATTTAAAAAAAAAAAACACTTTAAATTGTAATTTTGAATGTAAACGTAGAAAAATATCGTAGGAGCCCTCCTGCTCCAAGAGCCCTAGGCCCTTTTAAGCAGTAATAAAATTGAATTGAATTGAATACTTCCTGCTGGTTCGGGGTCTGCTGGCGCAGAAGGACGAAAATGGCGATGCACAAGCTTTCCTTAGGCAAGGGAACCCATCGCTCCAAGCGATGGACTGAGATGGTCGATGACAACGGCGGCACAGCTCTTGCAGCGATGGTGGTTTGTCGGTGTGATAGCTACCCAAAGATTGCGGCGGCAAGGATTGGCGATTCAAATGATGTGGCGATGATAGGGTGATGTATGGCCGAGGGTCAATGTGGGCGTAGATATCTTCCCAGCCGTTATTTGCAAATAATACGTGCGTATAAACGTAGTAATAAACAACAATTATACGTAATTTGCTAAGCGTGTCGAGGAGCTTTCGGATGCATTAGAGCGTTCTTTGATCATTGAAGGTATTGTTACGTCGCTGGCTATTGGGGTAAAGTTGGTTGGCATTCAGTCATGCTGGCATCCCGAGCTAGCTCGTCGGTTGGGGGGGTCACCTCCAACCACCTTACTTGCAGCTGACATAAACAAAATTTGTCATCATGCCTGTTAGAGAAAAGATACTGAAAAACCGGGAGAGTAGAAATATAAAGGAGATAGAAGAGGCCCGTCCGAGTCAGGTGGAGTCAGCCCACCCCATCTACGATCTTGTAGCCTTGGACTTCGCCGTGACTCCTACAATTGGCAAAGTCCCCTAAGCCTGACCTTAGTTCGTACGTCTATTGACAATTCATGTCCAAGTCAGTAACGTCAATCAGTGTCGACACCCATTTCCCCCCTGTTGCTCCAGTGCAATACCCACACCAATATAAAAAAAAATCAGCAAACCATGATTTTTCGTTGAATCCTAATCACATTCTTCATATATTTCCTTAGTAAGAATTCAATATACAGAGCTTCTTATAAAAACGTTATATTCAATTATGCTCAGTGTTTATATACTACTACAAATGACGAAAATTCAGGCTATCCAAAAAAAACTCATTAATTCACTTCTATCTATATATCTACGTATTTATCTACCTAGTATTTATGGAGTTTGGCGTGTTTGCGGTGAATAATGAAATTCGGGATATAGAAAAATTTCAAAGATACAAAACGAAATAGACCTTCAAAGAAAAAGTGTAAGAATATGTACATGTGTACACGAGTACATATGTAAATATAATATATATATTTCAATTTCTCTATTTACTATGCCCGCACTGTATGTAATATTCCAACCTATCTCTTGCTCTCATGCGTTTAACACATATGCCCGTGCCTAACCATGGGTGCATTTAACTACGTATGTATAGATGAATGTACATTTGTACATATAACTTAGGTATTAGCACTTACCGATCTCGCATGTGATGTAGGCGCCTGCATACAGGAGATGGAGAGGCTGGAATCAAAAAGTTATGGAAATGCAACGAAACAAGAAAAACTAGCAAGAGTTTGGCTGCATACTAGAGTGGGAGCATTCACAGGTGGGTAAATGTCGTGATTGTGCTTTAGCGTTCTTTCACTCCAGGACGGTCACATCACTACGCCATTTATCCTCCACCGAACACTTATTAATAAAAAAGCGTGCGAAAAATAATAAAATTGGAATACGCGGCAATTAAATTTCATACCTCACTTGCATATTCGCCAAATACGAACCTACAAAACAACCAACGAGGTGAAATCGCAACAAAATTTAAAACTAATTGGTGAGATTAAACGNTGTATGTATGTATGTATGTTTTATTAAATGTGTTCCAGACTCCTCTCAGCTATGTATTGCAATTGGTCTCCTTGTTTCATTCCTTGTGTATTCCCGGTCGTTCACCTCACATATGCACTTGTCGCCGTTCCTGTGGTTTTGTATGCCCTGTATGTATATCGGTGGTCGCTATGTATAAAACACACGTATGTACATACCAGCTGCCTTGGTGGTAGAAAGGCTTAACACCAAAATTTTGTTTTCCAACACTCTTGTGTCTCCTGGTGCTCGACAACCTGTAATAATTTTGTTTGCTGAGCCTTTTTTTTGTTGTGAATATCATCTTGGTATCGACGTTGTTATGTGATCACCCTTTTTATCCTTTTTTTTTAGGCTGTTAGGCTGTGTACGTATATTCACATGTCAATTGTTTAGTTATACGTATGTACGTGCGTCTATATTCACATATGTGTGCGTTCATGTGCTTGGTGCCTTTTGTTTATTTGATTTATTAGTTTCACGGAATATATATTATTCTTCAACTCATTTATGTTAATCTTGCCAGGACATAATTTATTATATTATATTTATATTTCGCTAATATAATATATGTATGTAAAGCATTCTTTATTATTTTACCTTTTTTT